GCGTGCGTTCGCTCTCATAGTTTTCGGCTGCAATTGCCAGATTATCGCTGGCGCTCTACCTCCCGGACGTTTATACGTGTGTGATTGGTAGTTTTCTCGCTTTCCGGGAAGTTTTAGAATAGAGAAAGAAAACGTGATTCAACATGTTTGCAAGCATCAGAAGAGATGTCGCGATCTGCGTTGTTTGTTTTTCTCCCGGACCAGAAATTAGTGGCATCGCGAGTTATAATTTTTTATTTCAGTTTATTTACGCGCTGCAAGGTGCATGAAAGAGCTCAGCACAATCGGTGTTGATGTTGGCTCGCTTGTAACTTTTTTTTTGTTGTGTTTTCGAAAGAAATTGATCGGAATTGTACCAAAAGTGCTTCTGAACGTTTTTCGCAGTTGGGTGTGGTGAAATTCGTGAATTCGCGGTTTATGTTCAGTGAAAATTCCGTGTCACAAAATTGCTCACCGAGTTTCCTTTTTTTGCCGTTCGACGACGACAGGTTTGCGAGAGAAAAATAAGCATCGGGAATTTGCTCCTGGATGTATTGATTTTGTGAGTACGTTCCAGTTGAAAATTGCTCTACATATCTCGATTGCATTTTCGAGGGGACGTTCGGAGAGCTTTGAGATTTAGGCGTTGTTGCATTTGCGGGCAGATGAGTTGGTCGCCGGTAAGGGCCAGTAAGTGCTGCCAGCAGATGAATCAAGAGGTATTCGAAACAAAATTGATAAGAAATGTCCATTCAAATCGATTTAATACAGCTGAACAAATTTTAAAACTATGTACGTGCCAGATTTGGAAATAATATTTTTTGAATCTGGAAGTGTGTTTATGATACCATTATCCATTTGATAAAGGTAGAGTGAACATGCGGGGCTAATTGTAAGTAAAAGTGACCTCGGAGTGGTCGTGAATTACCAGGCATTCTGAAATGGGTCACTGGAGCTGCAATAGAGCTAACACCTTCTAACTCCCGGACTAAACCTGCTTTAATTTAAGGGTAATAAAAAGCAGTTTTCTTCCATAATAACACTGCCGGACAGTGGGGGTTAGATTGTACACAAACACAAACAAACAAACAAACCAATAGATAAATGAGCGTGTTTACACCTTAAAGCAGTATTTTACTGCATGAAAATAAAAATAAATGTAAAAAATATTCCTTTTTTGTATGTTTGAAGGTAAGGCATGATGACGAGCTAATGCGTGGAAAGTGAACTGTTGTGAAAACACATTGAAACTCAATTGTTTTGAAGTTTTTTCAATAAAACACCCATGCAAATTGAAGAAAAAGAGTTTTTTATGATAGTAAAGTGATCTTTGAAAATAAAAAATTAGCGAAGATTGACTAAACTAGCGATTGAAAAAATAGGTCCAACCATCATCAGTTTTTGGATAGGTCCAACCAGAATCAATTACCCTAATAGAAAATTTCCTTTTCCGTGTGAACGGTACAATAGTGGTCTTAGAAGGATTTATATTCAACCCTTCTTTAGTGCACCATGACGAAACATAATTGCAAATGCAAATGCATTCTATTTTGAATGACATTATCTTATTTTCCTCGTACTATTATGACTATGTCATCAGCAAAGCCAATTATCTCGAAGCCCTTTGCTGCTAAGATTTGGAGAAGTTCGTCAACTATTAAAGACCATAATATTAGTCACATATTAGTTTTGTTCTATTTTCCAATGCTCCATGAACTCGAGGGATATATTCTCAATTTATATGTTAATCACTACATGACGTAACAGGGCCTATCATCTTTTGTAAATAAATCTTCCATTGCCCTTTCGTGTGATCCGAAGTACACCCACGCAATCCAGGAATACTTTCAGGAAAGAGGAATTTATTCTTGTTTCTATCAAAAGGCTAACTCTTTCGATTGAAGTGAAATAAAGAATATCCTACAAACACTCCCGAAAACATTTTTTTATGCAAGACAGAGTCGAAATCTCCCCTGCGTAGCAAACTTCAACTAACCAACACTTAATTCACCAGAATAACACTATCTGAATAAACCATAGAAAGCTCTTAAATTTGGACAGATGCAACCAGCAACCATCGGCAATTGAGAGATTTGCAAGCAAGAGTGAGAGAGTGAGAGCGAGTAATATTTTCTTTTCCTACGCGGGAAGGCGGGAGAAATGAATATTTTGCTCAAGCTTTTGCACTTCCTTTCTCTGTTACTCTGTTTGCCTACAACCAGATATCCAAGTGCACAGCGAGAAGTGCACGCTTTAGGCACCGATACATCACAAATGTTCTTCTGGTTAAAACTCATACATTCAAGCTGGTCTGCAAGCATGATACACGTCCAAAGCGTACCTGACTGCTGTTTCCGTGTTGCTCCCGTTTAGCACGTCCTTGATTGAATGTTTCAATTAAGACTAGTGGTGCCAATCACCATGTATTGTGGACAATATGTGGTATGTTTCAAGCATAATTCAATTTTATCTACAGGTGATAGAAGGTCTGGCAATCATTTAGCTTACATCAGGCATTTGACCATTCTAAAACATGACACCTGCCACCTAAAAAAGCTTGCTTTTAGGTGCACTATTTAACTAGTTTTGTCATGGTAGTGATATGGACATTAGACTGATGCAAAATTTGACTTTTTCGCTCCACAGTGCTTAAATGGTTTCAAATCGGATCCTGATTAGCCTCCCAAAGTTACAACTCATTTGGTTAGAAACAGACTTCGCACAAGCCATTTGAAATTTACATGTAAATTACTATGGGAAATCTCAACTTTTTGTTCATTGCCTTCTAGTCTTTTTCCATATTGAGCTGCGAAACAGTTCGATACCCATTCTTATAGAAAATTTTCTCAGCTACAACTTTGCTGAGGATCGTTTCTATGTAAAACGAGACAGGAGAAAGTTATTAATTATTTAAGAGATTGGTAAACTTATGACATGATCAAGCAGCTGCTCTGTAGGCAACACTGTATTTTGCAGTGTGACATAGTAGCCATGATTTTTGTGTCCTATTCAACGCCCCAGAAACAACAATGTTGCCTGCTGAGCCGTTGATTGAGCATGATCATAAGACATCAGCGCATTGAACCATTGATAACTTTCGATCCTTGCATTTAATCAAAAAGTGGTCTTCGGCAAAGTTGTAGCTGGGAAAATTTTCTACAAGTACAATTGAAAGTTTTTGAAGCAGACCGATATTGTGAATTATTAGATAGACATGAACAAAAATCTTGGTTTTACCATAGTAATTCCCATACAAACTTCAAATGGTTTGTGCCATCTCAGTTTCTCACCAAATGGGGTCAAATTTTGAGAGGTTAGTCAGGATCCGATTTGGAATCGTTTAAGTATTGTGGAGCGAAAATTTCAAATTTTGCATCACTCTAATGGACATGGATCAAGAACTCAATGCATTAGGTTTTACCCAGACCATCCAAACTGAATGTAATCCTTCATGAAGCAAACCTAGGCCATCGATTTAATTGAGTCATACTACAAAATAGTATGATTCAATGGTCACTTGTGGTCTGGAGTACAGAAGCATAACGCATAATATTGTTGGTGCCAAATATTATGAACATTTCAAGCAAATTAACATTAAAACTTCTACAATTCGTGCTACTAAGAAATATTTTATTCAAGTGCTTTTTTATTTCATTACATCAAGTCTAAAGAAAAATTGGACTATGTTTTGGATATTTCCCCACAAACTTCAGTTTTACAAAAAATCATAACTTTTTTGCTCAATTTTTTCCATTATGGCGTAAAGTGCAATAGCTTGCATTTGTTATCCTCTAAACATATCAAAAACTAAAAAAAAAAACTAAAAAATCTGCTTTAAGGAAAATATTGTTCAAGCTTTTATTTTTATATGGTGCAATTTTTTTAAAGTATATATATTTATTTATTTTTTTAAATAGTCTAAGCCATTACCTACCACATTGCTCAAGGCACCAAGCCGATCGAACAAACCATTGTCGAGTATCAGTTTTCTTAAGCTTAATAATTTCTATAAAAATGTTATAAATAATAAGGCATGATTCAAAATTGCGATTTGAAGATTGAAAATGGCATTTTTGGGCAAAAAGAACGTTTCTGCAAATTTTCATCCAAATAAAAAATACATGAATAAATGGATTAGCGAATTAGTATGGAACCGCTCATCATCATAACCCCACAATAATCAAACATCCAGGGTCACATGAATTTCAACGTTTCAAGATTCCAATAACAGCCATTAGTGTAAGTGAAAATGTACTATCCATAGCCACAAAAAGCCAAATGGCACTCTGGAACTGTTCCTCAGCAAGCCTTCTCCGTAACAAAATTTGTTTCCCCTAATTGAGATATTCTTACACAGATAACCCTGACAGCACTGAGCAATCGTACATTATCTTTATCTGCCTTTCCAATGGGTGAGCACAATTACTTCTGTGTTTTGCCGAACAAGCTACACGGCCGGTGAAATCGACTCAAAATTGAGTGGTTTTTCACCCAAAATCACAAAAAAACGAAGGTCACTCATAGACTGAGTAAATTTTTCCTGAATTTTCCGAGAAAAAATGTTTCGATTATGAGGAAAACCAAAAGCAGTTTCTTTCAGTCTATTAGTATACTCCTGACCTGAGTAAAATTTTCGTAGATTTTTTCATATTGGAGGATGCTGCTTGAAGAGCTCAATGAAAGATTTACATTTTTGCGATTTTGAGCAAAAACCGCTTAGTTTTAAGTCGATCTCATCGACCGTGTACGTACTAAATGCCTCATTACCAGGCCGATCAATATTTCTTCCATTTCTGCCGAGATCCGTTCTCCCTGCGGGAATGGACATGCCAGATACCACAACAACATCACCGCCCATAATCGTTTTTCTTTTTATTAAATTATTAAAATCTCATGTTCTCTCGTTGTAGCTGTCGCATTACCCAAAATTTATCCACCCATAAATATCTTTATTTCCCGGCATCGGGCGATATTCTCTCATCGATTGACCGAAACTTCTCCGTCTCTTTCTTCCATTGCAGACAAAAATCAACGATCGAACTTGACGGCAGTCGCGGTATGGTCTGGCAATCCAACCACAGTGCATCTGTATTGTTAGTAAGCAAAGTGTAAACCCATCACGGCCCAAGTGCAAAATTTCCACTTGCTGCTAGCATCCCTCCATCCACACGCTCCGACTGCCGCCGGTGAGGATGTTGCTGCGGCGAACGGACGAAGAAATTCATAAATACGTGACTTTACGAGCTGATGCCAACGCGACGTGGAGTGATCTTGTTGATTGTCGTCGTCGTCTTGTTCGTCGACGGTCGTGCAGGCGGGTACTACGAACGCCCCCCAGTTGAGAGGAGGACAATCCTTGTCCCACAGAGCTAGTGAGAAAGATATTCAAATTAAATGGGTGACGTCCAATAAATCAGCCGTTAATACGAATTCCGGACACTTTGGAATGCTTTTTCGGGGAAACGCGAGGGCGAACGTGTGAGTGTGTAACAAAGTAGGTGCGAGAGAAGGGCGGAATTGTGTCGAAGTCGCGAATTTAGCGTTACTCGCCGAGAGCGAATAATACTGTGATACAACTTTGTGAAACAAAACGAAAAGCAAATAGTCAATGAAACCCCACCGCTCAAGGGAATGAAAATCTACCAGAGAAATTCCATTCAAACAAACTAACTACGTCCTCTCGGGTGCTGTCAAAGTTATTGCCCCCAACCGTGACATAGAAATTTCACTCTAGCAAACAAGAACAGACCAAAAGTTCGTCTTTCCATCGTCATCGAACATTCGTGTCCTTCGTAGGCGAAAATGTTCGGCCAGTCAAATCTAAGCAATCCGAACCATCAGTGTATGTACAGAAGCTACCCTACACTTTCCCAAAACTCCTACCCACAACAAATCCCACAACAGCAGCAGCAGCAGCAGCAGCCCTTCCTGCACCAATCTATGACCCTTCCATGACAGTATAGTCAAAGCCGTCAGACCCGTAAAAACAATTGCTATTATTGCAATAACAACATCAATCTCACCTGCACCTGTTTGTCGTCGAGTGCCTTAGGATACTTCTACTCGACGTCACAAACCCTCAACTCGGCCCCATCGACCCTACCCAGGCGATCACGTCCCTCAAACCACCACTATTTACCCACTTACCCATACCTGCAGGCTCCCATTCAGCCCCCGATCCAATTCCAGCTCCAACCACCTCAGACTGCCACCAAAGCCACCTCAATCACTCCACCGGTCCGTGAGCAACAGAACCAAGAATCACAAGTCGACGAAGCAATGCTCGGAATCAACACCTCCAACGATCTCGACTCACCGGCCCTGTCCGCCTCACCCCCACCGGCTCCTGCGCCCAGACCACCCCCAGTTCGGAATGGTTGCCAACGGTGTCGATTCACGGCATCGATGGCTTCGGCCAATTCGACACTGAGCCGATCCCACCAGCATCTATCAGGAAGCGCTAGCAATACCCTCACCAGAGGGAACACTCACAATAGCAGCCTTCGGGAGAGCAGCGGCGGTGGTGGCGGCAATCATATAGCCACTAGCACTGCCCATTTGCACACGGCTGGGACGACTACGACAGGACATCATGCACAAAATGGGACATATCCCGGTGAGTATCTACTACACCTATCTGTTTTATCAGTGTGATGTCACTCGACGCCGATCGAGTGCAGCGATGCATGGTATGCATACATCAGATAGAAGATAGGATACGGGGGCTATAGTTTTTAGATTGGTATGCTTGATGAGTTATTGCGGAAAAATGAACACTCAGACACGCTGGCGGTGGTGTTGAAGCTGAATGTGACATTTTCATAATGCTTGGCGCTCTTTTGGTTTCTACATTATTTTCGAATCAGTTGGTAGGGTGAATGCTCCTTTAGTTGTGGTACGCTCGAAGCGTTTGTTCCATGAAGGCTCCAGCAACTCAAAGGGGCAAAGGCAATATTCTCTGCTGTGGATGAATGAAAGAATGCCTTCGATGTGACGATTCAAAGCGAATGTGAGGTGTGTGAAAAGGAAACTCATTCCATCGAACAGTGGGACCCAAAACCCTTAAATCTACATTAGATTTTAATAGCTTTTATATTTTTCCATCAATGTGTTCCTATGTTTGAATATGCGTGTTCCCAATTTTAAGATGAATGGAACTCAAAATAAAGCTTCTAGAACTTTCGGCAGTTGCCAAGGTCTATGAAATTTTCTAAAATTCATAATGCAAATAGTTTCTTCACTTCAGTTGGTTTTAAATTTTAATCATCTGCACTCATAAAGATGTTTTTACTAGGAAACATTCCTTTTCCATGGACATGGACAAGGAGGTTGACGGTACTGAAGCAATGGGTTATGTTTAATTTCTTCATATTTGCACCGATGATAATTTCCACATATCACCTTCTCAATGCTTCAGTATGCCTCAAACAATTAATTCTTGGTTGTTAATAGAACTTCCTTGATGAAATCAGCTGCTTCATGCAGACTCACCAATAAAGTAATGATCTTCTAGTAAATTTTGCATATAATTTTATTAATATTTTATTTTATTTTATTTAAGCATATTATTTTTGTTACAGTCAATTAGAATTAGCATATGATAAAAGAGATTTAATGTTACTTGCTCGTTTTAGCGTAAAATAATCAATATTTATTTTACTTGTAATTACCTTTGAAAGTTTGATCAAGTTTTTTTTTTGTGATCTGAAATTTTTTTCAGTTTGGTAAGAAGTTTCGAAGCTTACGCATGTCCACAGGCCTAATAGAAAGATAGGCAGAAAAAGTGTATCATTTGTTTGTAGTTTATATTTTATTCCTTTCATGTTATCGTAAATAATCGTAATTGTAATGTAATTATCGTACATAATACATAGTTAATCCATATATTCGTACATTGACGCGAAGTGCTGTGGATTATGAGATGCTCGATGACCCTGGAGGGATCGTTTTTGCTTACTGAGCAGAAAATCATGGGTTTAATCCCAAGACTCTTAAATTCATGATCACTTAACAAAATGAATATGTTCTCAGAGACGAACCAGCCCAAGGCTGAAAGTCTCTTTAATAAAGAAAAAAAAATGTTCTTTCGATAGCCGGCTATTGAGAGATTAAATAAACAACAAATAAACAATACATACTTTTGGCTCCATCGCCAACTTGAGGTGAATCCTAACCGAATACCCTAAACAACCCTCCAACTCCGTAGCACTTATGAGGTTGTTGCTAAGTCGGTGGCTATTGCTATTTAATTTATCGTAGTATTTTGCCTAGATTCCGATGATTGTAGTAGCGTTTTGTGTCGTATTCCGTGTAGGTCTCAAACTGGGTGAATACTGAATATGGGTTTTTAAATGATAGTTACGGTATTTTGTAAACTTTGACAACGGTGCATAAAGTTCTGATGGATGAGCACGAAATAATCGATAACGCCATGCTTTCAATCGGTCGGATGTGATGTGAGAAGAAGCGTAGACACACATGAATGAGGATATATGCCGACTTATAAAGCACCATTCCCGTAAATGTGGTTTAAAAAGATTGAATTAAAATAAATGTTGATAAAAACATAAAAGGGAATTGTAATATTTTAGTTAACTGCTATAATAGACCCTAAACACAAATAGTTAAAATGTATGTAATCAAGATAAAAACCTAGTTGCTTTAAAATTCAAAAGTGAATTCAAAGGAATCACTCTACGTAGAGATCCAATTTATTGTAATACTAATACATAAAATACTTCACTTTTACCTATTGTTCCTTTCAAAACATTAATAAATATTTGTTTAAATATTACAAATAATGCAAGCATTTAAGCATAAAACCAATGTGCTTTGGAAGCGCCAAAGACAACTATAACTTTAGGTTAGGGTGTTTTTGATGTTACCATTAGATTCAGCACCCCAAAATTACCCTTAGATGACATTTACAGCATAGTTAAACTATTTTTTGAATTTTTGACCATGACCAATTGTATGAAATTGATCCATAGTGCATCGTCGTCGGGGAGATTATCGGCGTACTATGAGATGCTTATCAGGCACGTCTTATAACTGTGGGAAAGCGAATGTGTGCATTCGGATAAGTTGACCATACCACCTTTCAGATGTTATTTAAAATGAACTATCATAACCGATTCCTTATAGAGTGTCGATCGTCGGAAGTATGAAGACCTATGACCCTAGCAGGGGACAAACCATAACTTTCAACGCTCGTTATCTGAGGCAAGATGCATCACGTTTTAGAGCATCTTTTCGATGGATTGTAAAAAAAACACAATCTTGGATCACTCGCCCTGCTTTAACCGTTTGTTAACCTTTATTGTACGTCGATAGCTATATTGTTTTTTTTTCTGAGTTCGATTGAAAGGGAAATTTTAAGTTTTCAATAATTAACAACGCTATATAAAGTTCCAAATATTTCCTATATCAATATCGTACTATGTTGATAATTTCTAAGAGGCACTGTTGACATGTCAAATTATTAGAGGCACCGGTGGTGTACTTGTAAGCGTGATTACCTCTCACCCCAGCAGGCCTGGGTTCAATCCCAGTCGGCGCCGCATAAAATCTCTGATCACGCCTTTTTGGAAATTCCAGAATTTCTGGAAGATCAATAAGGCAACGTAAGGCAAGTTTCTAAAAAATCAGGTTAGTTCCAAGAATTTGTGGAAAATTTCGATAACGATAACGATCTGGTAGTTTGAGGGAATTCCAGTTTAAAGATTTTTCGTTCATTTCCATATATTTTACAACTTCAAAGAATCACCCCAGCAGGACTGGGTTCAATCCCAATCGGCGCCGCCGGGATGTTCTGAAACATAACATCTCTGATCACGCCTAGGGAATTAAAACCGTTGGACCCCGTTCCATGAGCTGATGAATGGATATGGTAGGGTCCAGGTGTGGGAGCTGCCTCCCTGGCGTCGGTATCATTGGTACTCAGCACGAAAACAAGATCGACGGAAAACAAATCAAGGAAAAAAAAGTCAAATTATTCTCCAAATGTCAATTAAAATTTTAGATAAAATAAATTTGACTTTCCAACGGGGATAACAAAAACTCGCCATGAGCAGTCATGAAGTTTCATAGATCATACTGGAAGCTTTATGATTTATCAAACTGAATGACGACCTCTTCCTATATTCATTATTATGATATGGAGAGTTTGCTGTACAATAAAACGTTTAAAAAGTACGCGGGTTAAAAACTAAAATTGGGAAATACCAACCATTGCAAACGTACACAAAAAGTATTAGGATGTAACTCATAAAATCATGTTTTTAAAGAAAGACCATGTCTCAGACATGCACATAAGGAATCATTAGATATTAGAGTAGAGTCTAAAAGGTAAATATCTTTACTTTCAGGTATCTGGCACGTTTGTCCACAACGGAAGCTACTGTCATGCATTCCTTATTGGACCTGTATCACATTTTTTATATCAATAATATGAACGCAGCAATTTACACGATTATGTGATTTCATATTATTGTTGTTAAAAAAATATACATATTGATGGAATTTTATTCAGTTAAAGAACCACTAAATCTTTATGCTTTGAAATGGCTGTATTGAAAGGCCATTTTTTCAAACTTCCCTTTTACCATAGGTCATTGATTGAACTTTAAACGGGCAATCATCTTTTGCACGATCCCTGTTCCCATTTATTTGTCTGCCAAATTCCATTTCCACTTGAAATCCGTCAGGCCAACTGCAGTTCCACCTTTTTCTTCAGTATGTGCTTCACAATTGACCAGTATTAACCAATTGGCCTTAGTTCCGGAATATTGGCCGGATTAATCTCCTTGAGAACCATTTGGCGCAATTTTCGCTGTACCACTGTTTGGTGGAATTTGAGTATTGGCAGTTTGCAAAGTCCGGCCAGAATAGGCAATCCACCTCATGCTGCTCCAAATAAGACAGTAGTCTCTTACGTAGGCACTCTTCCTGGTAAATTTTCTGCTTCATGGTCCCAGAAGTAACGAAAGATTCGCTTTTCACAACTGCAGATTGCTTGTCAGACATGGAACTTTTTGGGGAATTTCGACTTCTTTTTGATTTTACATTCTTTTGGGGCTCTCCTACGGTCAACCGAGGTATAAAATTCCTGCCCAGAGAATTGATCGAAAACTGCGAGGAGCGGATAGACCAAAGATGAATACTAAGATGAAACTGTCGGAAGAAACACTTTCTATTTTAGTGTTCTTTTTCACGGTCCCTTTCATCCAATGAATAACCCCCGTATTCAAGGTAATTTCGTGTTTCTTCTTCTTCTTCTTTCCTTTATTTAACGTCGGTTTCTGTTCCTCAATCTAGTGCCAATCACCGACGGACACCGATTGCCATCCTTTGACGGCAATCGAATGTGCAGGAAGGCAGCTTCCACACCTGCGTAGAATATCGCACCCATTCATCAACACACATGGGCCGGGACCAACGGTTTAACTTCCCTTCCGAAAGAAGACGTGACCAGCGGTGGTTTTTCTGTCACCTCGGTAGAGATGAAATTTTGTGCTCATTTTTATCAAAACAAACACACCAAAATCAAAGGTGTCCCATTTTTTAATTACTCGATTAACAACTAATCGATTTTTTTGTTCGCTGTGCTGCCATTTT